ATAGTCTGTGTGTTTTCACCTGTATATTCAGTTCCACTGTGTGTGCAATACACTCAGCATTTTGTCAAATTTGTATCTTACATGAGCCAAATACTGTTCAAGTTTCTCTGGTACTTCACTTTTGTTGTTGTGTAACAGATACAGTGAGGAACAGAAGTATTTGAACACCCTGTGATTTTGCAAGTTCTACCACTTAGAAATCTCGGAGGGGTTTGAAATTCACATTGTAGGTGCATTCCCACTCTGAGAGACAGAATAAAAAAAAAAAAAGAAATCACATTGTATGATTTTTAAAGAATTTATTTGTCTTGCACTGCTGAACATAAGTATTTGAACACCTGAGAAAATCAGTGTTAATATTCGGTACAGAAGTCTTTGTTTGCAATTACAGAGGTCAAACGTTTCCTGCAGTTCTTGACCAGGTTTGCACACACTGCAACAGGGATTTTGGCCCACTCCTCCACACAGATCTCACCTAGATCTGTCAGGTTTTGGGGCTGTCGCTGAGCAACATAGAGTTTCAGCTCCCTCCAAATATGTTCTATTGGATTTAGGTCTGGAGACTGGCTAGGCCACGCCAGAACCTTGATATGCTTCTTACGGAGCCACTCCTTGGTTATCCTGGCTGGGTGCTTCGGGTCGTTGTCATGTTGGAAGACCCAGCCACGACCCATCTTCAATGCTCTGACTGAGGGATGGAGGTTGTTGCTCACAATCTCACAATAAATTGCCCCATTCATCCTCTCCTTAATACAGTGCAGTTGTCCTGTCCCCTTCGCAGAAAAGCACCCCCAAAGCATGATGTTACTCCCCCCGCGCTTCACAGTAGGGATGGTGTTCTTGGGATGCAACTCATCCTTCTTTTTCCTCCAAACACGACGAGTGAAGTTTAGGCCAAAAAGTTCTACGTTGTTCTCATCTGACCACATGACTTTCTCCCCATGCCTCCTCTGGATCATCCAGATGGTCATTGGCAAACTTCAGACGGGCCTGGACATGTGATGACTTGAGCAGGGGAACCTTTCATGCAATGCATGATTTGAAACCCTGACGGTGTAGTGTTCTACCGACAGTGACCTTTGAAACTGTGGTCCTAGCTCTCTTCATGTCATTGACCAGCTCCTCCCTTGTAGTTCTGGGCTGATTCCTCACCTTTCTTATCATCAGTGATACCCCACGAGGTGAGATCTTGCATGGAGCCCCAGTCCGAGGGAGACTGACAGTCATCTTTAGCCTCTTCCATTTTCTAACAATTGCTCCAACAGTTGTTCTATTTTCACCAAGCTGCTTGGCAATTGCCCCCTAGCCATAGCTTTGTGGAGGTCCACAATTTTGTCTCTGGTGGCTTTTGACAGCTCTTTGGTCTTGCCCATGGTAGTAGTTGGCGTCTGACTGACTGTGGGGTGGACAGGTGACTTTAAAGAGCTCAAACAGGTGCTACTAAGTTAGATTAATGAGTGGAGTAGAGGTGGACCTTTAAAGGCACAGTAAACAGGTATTTGAGAGCCAGAATTCTTGCTGTTTCTTAGGTGTTCAAATACTTATGCTCAACAGTGCAAGACAAATAAATTCTTTAAAAATCATACAATGTGATTTCCTGAATTTTTTTTTTAATTCTGTCTCTCAGAGTGGGAATGCACCTACAATGTGAATTCCAGACCCCTCCATGATTTCTAAGTGGGAGAACTTGCAAAATCGCAGGGTGTTCAAATGCTTCTGTTCCTCACTGTATAGTATAGTATACCTAGGGTAATCATCTACAGAATAAAAGTGAGAAAATATCTCTTCTTTCCTGGAGTCAATTTTTCCATTGGACCACAAAGATATGAATGAATTATGTCCAGAGTTTTCTTACCTCTGCTGTTACTCTGCTTTGAAAGGCTTTTCTTGTCATTTTTCCTTTTATTCAACTGGTGCATTTCATTCTGCACGTGATCATATTTCACTTGCATAGTCCCTCTCAGTTAAATCTTTATTATGTCAGGACTTTTGTGGCCAGGTCGTCTGTGCCATGTGTGCATGCAGTTTATTATTTATTTATTTATTTATCGAGTTTATATAGCGCCAAAGGGTTTGCTCAGCGCTGTACAATAGAGGGGGGACAATACATGAAACAGTACAGTAACATCAAACAGCACACAAGGGGTAAGAGGGCCCTACTCTTTCGAGCTTACAATCTAGGAGGGAGGGGGTAGAGGTACAGGAGGAAACGGCTGTGGGGGATGGAGTGGTAGGAGGAGGGAAGGCAGCGGCTGTTAGGTGAGGGTGGGGGGTAGGCTTCCCTGAAGAGGTGGGTTTTCAGGGAGCGCCTGAAGGTGAGGAGGGAAGGTGACAGTCTGATGGATTGGGGTAGTGAGTTCCAGAGGATGGGGGAGGACCTGGAGAAGTCTTGCAGTCGTGCGTGGGAGGAGGAGACCATGGAGCAAGATAGAAGGAGGTCCTGTGAAGAGCGAAGGGTACGGGTAGGGTGGTACTTGGGAATCAGGTCGGTGAGGTAGTTAGGGGCAGTTTGAATGTTTTTCCTCCTTGGCAGTATTAACCACCTCATTGCAGTTCAGGTGATACAGTTAATTTGTAATTAAAGCATTTGCAAGTAAGATATCCCCTTTTGTGATGGCACAACTGTCACCTTGGAAGGTCACTACATTGTCTTGTTTTGTGAGCTTCTTCACTGACAAAAGATTAGTTTCAAGAGCAGGAACATACAGGACATTTTTCACAGATATCTTTCTGATGACACCCTTTGAATTTTCTCAGGTCACGGTGAATGTGATGGAATGCCTGTCATCATTTTGGAGATTCCGTCAGAGAACCGCTTCCTCACCACTGGGACACAGAACCAAGGCATTATAGCCGGGCATTGCACCCAAGACTAGACAAGACTAGCTTAGATGCCAAACTGAAACTGTTTATTGAACAGAAAACACGGGTTTTTAGACACTTCACAAATAGGGGCAGTCCCCACATGAACAATGACTACAAATATTACACATTAGGATAACCATCACACACTGATTAGATAATGAGGTAAAGCTGACATCAGTCTAATCTCATCATGTAGGAGCCTCCAAGAGGACTTGCCAACTGACAAACAATAGGAGACTCAATTAACTCAATTAACAATGTACACCTAGGAGGCACACAATGGTAGAAAGACATAAAACACCTTAACAAAAATATTAGAGCAAGAGTCCTCACATCAAGTTTGTTCTGAGCTGTATAAACATTTTCTTAGCGTGTCAGAGGCTAAGAAGGGGGGGGGTTGAAGCAGTCAATGCTGGTTTGGGCACAGAGACCCCCAAATCTGCATCCTGGTTCAAAAGTTCTCAGAGTCTGTGTGTTTTGGGGGGGATGCATGGACTTGAATCCGATGTAAACTGATCCAAAGGTCCCTCCAGGCACACACCAAAAAACAGAGCCCACTCAGATGCCAGGGCCATGGTCAGTAGGAAAGAGGCTAGCCTGCAGTCCCCTCCAAAAGCCCCTGTTTTGGTTGGGTCTGTCACAGTGCATAAAGAAAATTCTGTAATTTGTAATGTGTCTCATAGCTCCTGAATCAACACACCATGCCTGCAAAGATGAGGTACAACTTTTGGATTGAAAAACATATTCATTATCTGAAAAAAAAAATCAGCAATCTGCTTTTAAATAGCCTTGTTTCTTGCACACAAAGCATTCATGAGTTTCTTGTTGCATGTTACTGAGTTTTAATTTTTTTAAAAATTTTGTCTTTAAAGCAGACTCTGCGATAGAGGCACCATCACTATTAATGCTTTCTGTTTTACACTTATATTCATCCACAAACTTGCCCTTAACATATTCCAATATCAGTTTATCAACTGGACGTGCATCATGTGCTGCGACAAGCGTTTCTTAACTTTCTGGTAAACCGCTAAGTAATAGTACTGCAACATGAAAATCTTTTATTTCTGCTCCTATGCCTGTCAGGCATTCAACCATTTCCAAGGTGTGCCTTATAATCCTGCATATCCTGGACTTTCATCAGTTTTTTTGGTATAGCTTTCTAATCAAATACAGTTTATTGCTGAGATTAGCTCTTTCATGCATCTTTTGTAGTCCTTCTCACATTTCTTTAGCAGTTTCACACTTACATATATGTATGATTTGATCATCTTCTATGCTAAGAGAGATTGTGCTCTGAACTTTATGATCTTTCTCTATCCATTCATCTGAAGGGTGTTCTGGCCTGACTTCAATTATACATTTCCATGTACCTTCTCTTATTAGCAGCATTTTCATCTTGAATTTCCAAAACTGGCAGTTCTACTTTCTCAGTTTGCAAATAAAAGCTTTGTTGCAGCTATGTTACTGGCCATTTTCTTTTATTCTGTTGCTGTCTTTTTTCTGTTGCTGTATCTTGCACGAATTTGCTGTAGTAGGCTATGACTGGGCTCCAGGCCCATAACCTGTTAGAGATTCTGATATATCCCTACAGAACAGACAGAACACTATCCACATGTGTTTATCAAACGTTTTGAACAAAATTCTACTAGTGTATTGCCAGCATACAGTAAGTATTAGAGTTAATAGGAGGGTTAGTGTAAGGGTTATAGTTAGGGTCAGGGTTACAGGGAAGCTTAGTGTTCAGGTCTCAGTAGGGGTTAGTGTTAGGGTTAAAAGGAGGATTACAGTTAGTGTTACAGAGGAGTCTTGGGGAAGGACACTGTTCTCTGCTGAACACTATCATTCTTCTGGTGCTGAAAGCTAATGCATTATTCTTTTAAAGACAAGCAGATTTTCCAACCATGTTTGGAAATCTATTTAACCACTAGCCTACAGGGCACGTATACCCCCTTCCTGCCCAGGCCAATTTTCAGCTTTCAGCGCTGTTGCACTTTGAATGACAATGTGCGGTCATGCAACACTGTACCCATATGAAATTTTTATAATTTTTTTGTGACAGATAGAACTTTATTTTGGTGGTATTTAATCACCTCTGGCTGAAAATTTTGAAAAAAAAAGTTTTTTCTTAGTTTTTGTTATCAAACTTTTATCAAAGTGATTTTTCTCCTTCACTGATGTGTGCTAATGAGGCTGCAGTGATGGGCACTGATAGGCTGCACTGATGGACACTGATAGGTGGCACTGATGGGCACTGATGAGGAGGCACAGGTAGGTGGCACTGATGGGCATTGGCAGGCATCACTGATGGGCATTGAAAGGCGGCACTCATAGGTGGCACTGATAGGCGGCACTGATAGGCGGCACTGACTGGCACTGATAGGCGGCACTGACTGGCACTGATAGGCAGCACTGATGGGCACTGATAGGCGGCACTGATGCACACTGATAGGCGGCACTGACTGGCACTGATAGGTGGCACTGATTGGCAGCACTGATAGTAGGCACTGACTGGCACTGATGGGTGACACTGAAAGGCAGCTCAGATGGGCACTGATATGTGGCATTGGTGTGCACTGGTATGCACTGAAATGTGGCATTGAGGTGGCACTGATAGGCACTGGCAGGTGGCATGAATGAGCACTGACAGCTGGCACTGATGGACACTGACAGGTGGCACTGCTGGGGCTACACAGATCATCAGGGCACACTGATGATCAGTGTACATGTCCCCTCTGACGGATGCCGATTACCGGCTCTCCTCTCCTCTTGAGCTGTCAGCGTGACAGCTCGTGAGGAGAGAAATACCAATAACCGGCATTTTCCTATTTACATGCAATCAGCTGTGATTGGACACAGCTGATCACATGACCGAGCCGACATCTTCAGCTCTTTCCATTGATCGGTGGTCTGCTGTGTCCAAGGGACACAGCGCACCGGCGATCACTGCGCTGCGCGCTCCCTGAGCCACGCATGCGCGGTTAGAATGGGAAGACGTCATATGATGTCCTCCCAGAACGAGAGAACTGCCTTGTGCCCATCATTCTACTATAGGGCGGGCAGGAGGCGGTTAAAAAATCCTTTCAGCCTGACAAAAGATGTGACTATTTTGTGAAAATATAAAAATTCAGTTCCTGCAAGAGCTTAAAGCATAAATTGAAAAGTTGCATAAAAAAAGGTAATCAAAGAAGAACAGGTGACATATTTACTTCTTCTAGCACTCGTCTATCAAACCCAGCAGCCATCTATGCCCAGTCTATGTACGGGATATGCTTTTTAATAAATATTTTTTTTTTTTTATTTTGTTTTCATTGTTCTTTTGAAGCCTGCAGTGTAAACTTTACAAGGTACATGGAAACATTTGTATCTGTTCCTTTCTGTGGTTTACAATTGAATGTTCTGATCACAAATTAGACCCAATTCCTCAGAAGTTCTTAGAGATTACTCAACAATCCATCATATATTGGCTTTTTCAGTCTTTTATAAAGTGGTGTTGTTATGTTAAATTATTGACAGAGAGTCCCTGAATGATTGCTATGCTTGTTGTACACCATTCTCCTCTGTGCTGAGTCAATACATAAGCATAAAGGTGATTAATCTAATGGCAGAACTACTTTACATTTATCACACTATATTCTAAATTTACAAATGTACCAGGTATAATGATTATTTGCCATAACAACCAATATTCTCAACAAGATGTGCCAACAAGAGCTGGCAAAACACAATTGTTATTGCAAGTAACATGTTATAGCTTAGTGAATCGAGCCTATAGGGAACACATACAGGTAGGCTGTGCGAGAAAAGACAGCTTTATGTTACGAACTAAGTTGTCAAAAGATTAAATAAACAACATAAGGAATACACCATATGTCTTTTTAGGCACATTTAGGGTTAAGAGTATAGAAAGGGTCATTCAAAGCTGAAATACTTTTGAAATAGACAAGTTGATTATTAAAAAGAAATGTAAAAAAAAGCAGCCCCAAGGCTCAGCCATTTCACATACAGTTGTCAAAATGTTGCTGAAAGATCAGAGGCCAGGAAAGTGAGTTTGGCCTTGGGGGCGTGTTGTTCCTCAGGCTTTCCCAGGTGTGCGCTTGCCAGTGATAACGCGCTTACCTGGGAACTAAATCTTTCTGCCAAAATCTAGCAGAGCCGCTGGGGAGATGAAATTCAGAGGCGAAGGAACAATGCAAGCATCAGAAAGAGAGCAAGAACATGGGAAGAGAATTAACACATGCACGTGATAAAGAGCGAGCTGAGACAAGGCTGCCTGAAGACTAATCAGAAGAAAGTTCATACAAAAGCTCTTATGTTCACTCTGGTTTACAAAGAGTATTTGCATTTAAAAGGACAATAACTGATATTTGTTATGTGTTGAGGCCTTTATTATTAGTAGACCTACTGTTAAAATGTACACTTTTTTTTCTAAGTAAAAACTCTTCTCTTGGGGTATCTCAAGTAACCTAAACCCCAGGCAAAAAATAGTGTAGTCTCTAGCTACCAGACATACTACGGGTGTTTAATTTATTAGGAACTGCATGTATTCTATGTTTTCAATTACACAGACCTTGTCTCTTAAACCTGCAAACCTGAAAAAGATCATCATATTTCTAAATGCAAAATAAAAATGATCCAAATGCCCTTTATCTAAATGTCCTGCCCTAATTATAGTCACATGATGCTGCTCTCCTGGGCCTTCTCTCCTTTTAATTTTTACTTCCTGTGGGGTCCTTCTTTGGATGTCCACATCACTGCCATCATGATGTGGACACTTATTTTTGGCTGCCCAGCATGGTGGAGTTCTCTCATGATTCAGAAGAGGAGTGATGTCAGCAGAGGGGACCAGCATTCTTGGGTGCATCTGCAGCCTTAAATTAGTGGTCCCCTGCACTCTGAAATGGCAGCAACAAGGGTCCTGGATAGGCAACTTAGGCAAGCACAACTTTCTTCAGCAGGTAATAAAAGTAGAAAACATTGCAGCATGGTTTTAAGGGGGGGAAGTAGATGAAGGCAGGGAGAACATAATATGCCTGGATTGGGGTTTTTAAAAAAAAGACTATAGTTCCCCTTTACTAGCATTGAGCAATGATATACCATAATCCTGGACAAGCAATCCAATGTTAGATGTTTATAGTAGAACGATAATTAATTGCAATAAGTGTAATAAACTTTCTGAGTCAAAAGATTAAAAACTGACGTAATATAGATATCATGTGTTACACATGATCACCAAGCAAATGTTAAAATGACCAATGCCATTCCTCTTGCTATCCCATCTAAGAGTACCTGTGTGTGGAGGGTGTTGAATAGCTCTCTTTCTCAGCTCATAGCTTCCTAGCAATCCCTAGATAGCAGATGTAAAACTCTATGTAAAAACTGACTTTATCTTCAGGTGATTACATAGATACAATTACATCATCAGTCCTTTCCCAGTTGGCCGGAATATTCTTTTATTCCTATTGACTGACAGCTGACTGTGCTATGCTATCTTATGACAGTTACCTGCCAGTCAATAAAAAAATACAACTAATCAGGAAAGGACTGTATCCAGACAGACCTACTATACATCCACATTACTGCTGTGGATATCTGACTTCTGAAAGAAAAATTGACAGCATTGTTACAGCTACGATCATAGGTATTGCTGGAGAGCTGTGACAAGAAAGCAGGGGAGCATTAAAGCACATACAGCATGCTTTGTGTGGCCATACTCTTAGATGGGATAAGAGGATAGAAAGAATCGAGCTGGCTATAACTGGATCGATATTCAGATGGTTCAGCAGGGAGCAGTTGAATTTCAATCCATGTATGGGCACTTTGGTTATTGACTTTTGTACAACATCCCTGTCGGGTTTTCTCCACTTGATCAGCACCATAGGCCAAATCCGGCAACACTCTCAGTGTATTCTGACAGCAGGGAAGTCTCCCCTCTGTCAGAATACAAAGGCTCAAGGAGGAATATTCCCCCATCCACATGGAGAGTGTGAGTAAGGGATTCAAGTCAGATTATCTTGTTCAACCTGCTGGTTGAATAAATAAATGACTCATATATAGATTGCTTCACCTTTTAGGGAATGGGCTACCAAAACAGAGTTTAACAAAACAGTATAAATGAAACCTGTCAGAAATCCAGGCAATTCAGTCATTTTAAACGTTCAGAATAGAACAGCCAAAAGATATTTCTTGACTTAGGTTAGAGTGGGAAAGTGTTTAAATCCCTTCCCCAGTTTTTATTACGTTTTGTTTCCCTGCTGGGGAGTTTTCCCCTTCATTTCCTATGCAGGTGACTACTCAGGAACATAGAATATCTCTTCAAAAAGATCACAGGTGACAAGAAATACCTGATAGAAGTTTTCACTTTTGCCTACTTAAAAAAAAATATTGTTTGTTTTCTTTGCACTTCATTTGGGGGTGGGGGGGAGTCCACTTCCTGTCTCAATGACCACCCAGGAAATGAGAAAGAATCTCTCCAGCAGCCGAAGAAACGGAGAAACAGCAATTAAACCTGACTTAAAAATTCAGGGGCACTGTTTCGGGCCTAAAACTACTGTTGTGGGGATTGTAGCATAAAATGCAGTAATTGTGAATTAGTCTGCCCCATTTTTCCATGACATTTCCTCCCTTCCTGTTTGTATTGATAGTCTTCCTTCTCTGAATCTTTTATTCTATTCCTTAGAAGGACCTTTATGCTGCTAGCAGTCCCGCACCACTGAACCAGAGCACTCACAGGCTCACAAATATAGCTTGCAGCTCCATTTCTTCCACCACATCTTATATTGCAAATTTGTAGCTAAGCCTCATAAAAGAATAAAACTAAAACTTGTCAGTGCCTTTCGTTAATAAACTTGACTTGAGTCAGATCTGGGTCTAATAAGTGTAATTTCAAGACATGACTGAAAATAAAATTAAACATTAGATAAGTATTTACGGTCAGACAGGTGGGTGATCAAGGCACCACATCCCTGGTTCATGTATAGAAAAACAAAAAGTGTTGGCATATGGGACTTTATGGTGCCAAAAAGCAGCAAACAGCAAAATGGTATATAATTAGAATCAACATATTTTTATTGTACAATAAAATACAATAATATATTTTTTTTTAGTAATGTGTAAATAATTTGTTTTGTTATTATAAAGCTATTTTTCTGAAAAATTAATGAAACTTTTTGGAAAAATAAAATACAATAATTTAAATTATATTCAATTTTTGCTGTTTTTTTTGATTTTTTTTGGCACCCATAAAGTCCCATATGAAAACACTTTTGTTTTCCCCCTTTCAAAATTAAACATATAATTGCTTAATAATTGATAAACTTCATGATGTTCAATAAGCATAGCATGCATAAAACTTGTAAGCTCATTGTTAATCATTTGGCACTTTTCTAATAAAGCAAGCATTTTCTTTTCCAACATTTATAAATAACAATGCCAGATATGAACAAAGAAGCTTATAAACTACTGACCCACATTCAGTAAATAAAAAAATCTGCTCCAGTCTGTCCCCAAGACAAGTTATTACCCTGTTGGGCACCTACGTCATTCCTTTTACACAGTATTGAGGAAAAACTAGTCCGCACACCAAAGACATATGTTCTATCCCTGTGACAGTCATGTGTCACTGCTCTCTGAATATATAATCATAAGGTAGTGGTATGAGACTGAGATGAGAACTTAA